CTCTCTCTCTCTCTCTCTCTGCTTAAATCTGCTGTATCATATTAATTCCGATATATGAAAAAAACAGATTGATGTATATATTATGATAATGAAAAGGAAATAATGTGTGTGTGACTAAAGCTTTGTATAAAGATCAATTTCAGTCGTAAAACTGGCACATGAGGCGTATGAGGAAACACAGATGTCCAGAAAGCGATGAGCGTTTCACTTGTTAACCAAACTGGACAATCATTCTATCTTTCATTCCGCGAAATTAATCCGCTAAAACCTGCCTTATGCTTTTTTTACTATCATGGCTACGTAAATTATTGCGTAATCGATCGTTGGCACGACGTTTCTTTTAACGTGCAGTATCGGTGAAAGTCACGACGCGCTCACACACACGCGCGCGCGCGCGCCCACACGCACACACTCATATGTATAGTATATATAACATATCGATAAATACGCCTTTCTATTCCTCTCGCCATTTTTACTATGTTATCTTCAATGTGTTTGGCTTTGCATATAGGTGTATGCACTGAGAAAATTGTGTCGTAGCAATAAATGTCGTTAAAGCTATACTCAGACGCAGCATAAATCATTCAATTTTAATATATTTGATATAAAATAAATCCTATAATTTTTAATGCCAAAAATTGTATTACTTACAAGCCATACAATCAACATCCTTACGATTTTGCAGTAGAAATTGCAAAAGTTTATTATAGATAGAACAGTTAAATTCTAAACACAATAAATAAAGGAGCAGATAGAACAGTTAAATTCGTTCTACATATTCGTTCGTGATTATAAAAATAATTTAACTTTAATACTTTTTATTTAATTTAATAAAAATAATGAGATAATTAGACTTTTGTGTCTTGGATTAGAAAATACTTTGTATTCTTAAAATTCTTGATGGTGTAAAAAACTATAATATACTTCTCATTTAAGATAATTAAATATTTGCGTGTTGAGAATTAATAAAAGATCTATTTAATTCTTGAAATTTATTAAAAATTTGAAATATATAAATGCTTTACATTGGCGAATATTTGAGAAAGTAGAAATCCCGGCAAAGTTGTTTCATGACCGTAACTAATATGAAGCTTTGAGGCTAATTATGTGTAGATGTGCGCTCTTCAATTTGGCGGCGCAGGATACAATTTATTGTGCCTATCGTGCGGGAAATACGATAAAGATAGAAGATTTGTGTCATGTGATTTATTTTTAGGCATATATATATCTATCGACAAAGATGAAATTTTATTTGGCGATAATTTAATAGATCAAAAAATATGGAACAATTATATATCTTTAACGAAATTAAGAAAAGCAGCTTATAATATTTTATAACTTCGATAATGACTTTTTAATTCTCGTCCGAGTCGAAAGGTCACGAATTATGTTTATATGAGTATGCAAATGCGAAATATCATCAAATAAGAATTTCGAGTGTTTTGATGTAATTAGCTTACGTAGCTGCCGTACAAGTTCGTTGAAAGTTTCGAGTCGTCTGAGCGGTTAAGAACACGTATAACTAAGGAACATTTCAGCCGATACACTTTCTCCGGCGACCCTAAAAGCTTCAGCAACGTTCATTGAAATAAAAATGCAACCATCTCAGTAAGATAATATTTTATATGCATATTGATGAAATATATTTTTAAAGTAATGCCGATCACCGATTTAATATCCATATTACCATTTGCATAACGATTGAAAAATAGCGATAAACTCTTAAGAAGATATCTTTTGATCTCGAAAGATTAAACTTTACATCTACGAATCGTGAAGATAATAGTCCGAATGAGCGTTTAGGACAGACAGAATTGTTAATTAAATGTATTTTATCGACAATGAAAAGCTGTGTTTTCATTCAGTACAGAAAGAAGGACGTCAAAAAAAGGGATCGATTTTTATCCAAAAAGGTATAAGCAAAGGGATAGTGTTTTTTTTTTGTAGATTTTGACCTCTTGGATACGATAAAATTATTAAAAGTTCGTAGCGTTTGGGGAATGCTTCGAAAATTGAACACGAACATGATGTATACAGGGTGTCCCATAACTCATCTGACAACGCTCGTGGGCAGGTAGAGCGGATTAAACTGAGTCGAAAAGTCTTCTACTATTTTGTAATATTCGCAATAGTTAACAAGATATTAATTACTAAAAATTGCCGAATATTGGTCTTCAATAATTTTTTTCTCAAATACTATCAATTTTACAAAAAAACTTCAAGAGATAAAAATTGTTTATTTTCTTCTCATAGAACTCTAAGAATTTTTTCAGAATTTTTTATCAACTTTTTAGTATTGCATTTTTCTTACTTTTACCATCATGAAAATCCGGTATTAAAAAATTCTGAAAAAATTCTGAAAAAATTCTCAGAACTTTATGAGAAGAAAATAAACAATTTTTGTCTCTTGCAGTTTTTTTGTAAAATTGATAGTATTTGAGAAAAAAATTATTGGAGACCAATATTCGGCAATTTTTAGTAATTAATATCTTGTTAACTATTGCGAAAATTACAAAATAGTAGAGGACTTTTCGACTCAGTTTGGGCTCTACCTGCCCAAGAGCATTGTCAGGTGAGTTATGGGACACCCTGTATTTATCGAAATTTCAATAAATGCACCATTTGCTCAATTTTCGAGATGTTTTCCAAACGTCACAAACATTTTAATAACTTTATTGTATCTAGTAAAACAAAACCTACAAAAAACACTATTTCTTTTACTTATATTCTTTTAAGCAAAAAATTGGCTACTTTTAATTAACAGCCTTCTTTAATATTGGAAGATAAAGATTAACTATTCATTTTGAGTATATATTAAAAGCATTAAGGAGATCCTAAACCGATTACCGAACTTGATCGAGGTCGATAGTGCAAACTTTTTTAATTCCAAATTCGATAATAGTGACATCTTTGATTCATTTCTTACGTTATATTATATATCGTTCTATCTCACTTAAACGCATATATCTGTCCTTATCTAACATATGCCAGCATCATCTATCGCAAGACCGCGCAACTATTACTACACGGAATTTCGACTCTGTTGACAGTCCCAGTCTTCGCAAAGTACCCGTATATACGTATTTTCTATTCGGTAGGATTACTTTTCTTCTAGACTTTCAATCTTAGTTCTATAAACTTGGTATCGTTCGTTACAATAATGTGACCTCAGACCTATGCTTATTTTCAAGATATAAACTATAAAACTCTTGTATGAAGCAAATATAGACCTGAGGTGTCAGCTGTACGAGTTAAAAGTAAGCGAATTTTTAAACTTTTCTTCGATTTTCTCCTAAAATCCGATACAGCTGAGGTCCTGTTTGTGCGTACTTTAATATTGTAAAAACAATTTTTTGCAATCCGTCAATTCAATTTGGAGATATTTCACCGAATAGAAATGATGATAAAGTAGAACAACTTTAGCATCCCCTTAACAACCAACAAATGCTTTTATTGACTATTGAAAGCACTTGTTAATGTTTTTAATACTCAAAATTGAAATTTTTAATACTGATTAAAATAAGCAATTAATCACTATCTTCTAGTATCAAATTTCTGTAATGGCTCTACGCGCTTCTTAGTTGTTATAATTACGAATTCTACCAAAAAATGACAACTTTACAACACCTCGCTTTATTACATTTATTACATTTATATTCAGATTAATAAAACGTATATAATTGTAACTGTATAATTGTAACTACTAAGAGAATAAAGGTATCAAGAGGTACGCTATACTAAAAGAATTTGGGTACTTGGGAAAGTAGAAATAAAAGTCATTTCTAGACAGAATGCGATATAATTTCTTGTATGTAAGTATATGTATAACGTAAAAAGTGTGTACACGCTTCTATCGATGCTACAGTTATGTATAAATGTACAGATGCATACGAACGTAAATACGCACGTAAAAACCCAATCTATATTAAACCGCTTAACGATTTAACAAGAAAGCTTAAGTACAAGGCACGACAATTATAGAACTTGTTACATCTCGTGTCGCTATACGACTCATTTGTCAATATGTTTATCCTTTTATCAATCCAGTTCACCAATTGTAAACACATTTATATAAACAATATGACAAAAAGTATGATCGTATATAGCTTAAATCAGTCATAAAACGTGTGCCCGCCGAAATAAATGATAATGAGCGTTTGCTTAAACGCTTACACTACACGCCTACATTGGCACTGTTACTCGTAAGAATGTTGGCGAAAAATCTCCAATATTAATCATTGCAATTTTATCAAAACCATGTTGAATTGCAAACTAGTCTAATTAAACTTCGATATAATTTGCTTAGCAAAGATTTTATCGTAATGAGAGCTGCTTGCCCTAATGAGAAAAATTCTTATAATATATCTTATAAAATATTTAAGAATTTGTCATTTAAATTTATTAAAGATTTCTGAAAAATACCTTAAATATTTTTATATTTTATAAATTTTTTTCAGAAATTATAGAATGAAAAATCTTAGAAATCTTAAAATATATATAATATATATATATTTCAAAATTCTTATGAATTCTAAAAATAATGTAATATTTCCTCACTACTTCTTAAAAGTGTTCAATTGGTATATATATATAAATAATCTGAGATATTTTTTTAAAAATTATACAAAATTCTGAGAAATTTTGAAATTGAAAAATCTGAAAAAAATTATAAAAAGAATTTTCAGAAAAAAAAAATTTTCATTTGGGCAGATAAAACTTTGCTAACCACAAACAGAAAAATTCTGAATGCTTCTGATATATTTAGCGATATATAAACAATTTCAATTATTACTCGCGCAATGAATTAATTGCAACATCAATGTTAGAAGTTTTCTACAATAAGCCAAATAACATGATCGTAATTGAGTATGATTGGTCAATTTCTTACGGCTTAAGACTTAAACCTTAAGTAATTGTTTATTGTAGAAAGCCTCTTATACATAAACATATTTATTGTGTTTACAAACATGGAATATTATCGATATTGGTATGAAATTTTCGCATAGTGGATTGTTATTTATACCAAAGAACATTTAATTTTGGCAATCGGTGAATTTTGATCGAGTTTTATTTCGATCAATTCATCGCAGTATGTTCTAAGCTCATATGATAATGTACAATAATTGGACCGGACCAGACCGGATCGTCTCTAATCCGATAATCATCTGAGAATAACATTGTCGAAGGTTAGATCTCTGTTCTCGCGTTGGATGCTAGATTTTTTAAATGGATTCCACGGAAGCCTTCTGACTACGTGCGCTGTAGTGACGGATCCCGCCGGGCTCGGTTGACCGGAAGAAACTCCAGAAGAGCTGCTTGCCGAGACGCTGCCCTTATCGTGATGGTTGTTAGGTTTTCCTGGTTTCTAAAATAATTAGTTTCTACCGTCGTATTTTTGCATTGACCGATTATTATTTGTCAGAGAAATATTTTATTTAATAATGATTATCTTTTTTTTAATAAAAAAAAAAGAAAATGTAAAAATAAACAAATAGAAAAATTTATTATCAAAACTAATTAATTTCAACTATCTAATCTCTATGGTATATTGCTACATAGGATAAAACCGCCCAAAAGTACGTTCTTTTTCTTTCATGTTGTGTAATTTGTATGTATATGTACAAGAACCCGAGTTTGAGCAGTAATAACATGCTACTTAAGCTATTCCTTACAGTTTAAACTGTAATTTGACAAAAATTTGTCAAGTATCAATTTGATACAAACACTCATTTTTACAGGAGATTAATTTTACTAAAGCCCAATTGCACCAACGTTATACTTTGATTTTAAGCGAGACTTAAAACTCTCTCTATCTCTTTCTTTTTCAGCTTTAAAACGAGACAGAGAGAGTTTTAGGTCTCGCTTAAAGTCAAAAGGTTTGTTCGCGTCGTATGCTCCAACACATTCCAATATGCTCTTACCATAGCTCTTACTCACTCCAACGCGCTTGATAGAGTGAGTAGGAGCTATGGTAAGAGCATGTTGGAGCATGTTGGAGCTTGCGACGCGACAAACCTAAAGTAACATTGGTGCAACCGAGCCTGAAGGTAAAAATGCGTACTCTTGGGCAAGTGTCTTCTCGAGAGTACACACTACTAAAAAGGTGTCGCTTATTGTAAAAAACAATGTTGATTGAAGTAAAAAAGCTTTTTTATTTTTGATTAAATATAAATTTTTATAAATACCTGAAGTATTTTTACGTGCAGAGTTCACATAAATAAGTTTTTGATCGATGGTCGATATCCCAGCGCAATCAATAATGGGCCTAGAGCCAGCTGCTTTGGTATCAGGACCCCTATTCTTGAAAAGTATCGCATACGTAAAACTAGGGAAATACTGTAGTATACGTAACATACACTATAGTATTTTCCTAGTTTTATGAATGTGATACCAAAGAGAAACCTGAGAGAGGACATGAGGGCCTTTTTCCTGTAACCGCAAAATGCTCCCGCGTACCAATAGAATTATTGGTTAATGTGACAACTTTCGCCGCGCGGTAAGCGTTGCTGCGTTCTATGTGCAGGAGCCATTACTCTATTCGGCGAGAGGAAATTATCGATCTGCATTTCGAAACTTTACTCTCACCGAATAGAGTATATGGCACGTATTCAAAACGCGCTTTTATCTCTGAAATTCTATAATAGCGGTCGTAAGATCAAGTCGTAGAAAATTTGCAATTAATAGTCGATTATTCTTCTGATTATTATTTTCGATTATTCGACTATGATTATTCGGGGAAAAAAAGGTTTTATATATAATTATATACAATTATGTAAAATATGTCCATTTATATATAATTACATAAAATTGTATGACGATATAATAATTTAAATGTTCGCATGAGCGATGTTTTTTATGAATTTATGTAACTTACAAGCGTGAATAACTTCACAAAAAATCTCAAATTTTTTTTCGCGAAACATATGTCATATTTTTATCTGTAGAATACGTCAGCAAATTAAAAAAAAAAATAAAAAATGACGATGTTTCAAATCTGCCGGTTTGACATGGAATGCCAGGTACAGTTCGCTTCATAGGGATTGATTATGTATCTTTAAACGAGGTGAAAATTAAAAAAGTGAGCGAATTCACTAGATGTTGATCAATGAAATTATAAATATGCTAATAAATTTGATTGTTTTTGTAATTTTCACCTCATTTCAAAATACGCAATCGATCTCTAGATATATGCCTGAGATTAGGTGCGAACTGTATTTCCTTTGTGGTTATTGGTAGAAGATTTTGCCACGCCATTGAAGGATTTTCGTGCATGCGCGGAAGATTTTTCAGTGACCTGATGGAACAACATTGCCGCGTACTACTGTCCTGAAGAAGTGGATGTAAACTACAGAGCAATATCTATTTCTTTTTTGCGATGCTCTTGATGGAAATAAATTGCTAAAATCGCTGAAATAATTAAAATCTATTAAATTAATAGAGATTTCAACAATTTCAGCAATTTATTTCCATCAGGAGCACCGCAAAAAAATAGATATTGCTCTACTACTGTATAGTTTATATCCACTTCTTCAGAGGACAGTAGTACGCGGGGGCATTTTGCGGTTACAGAAAAAATACCCTCATGTCCTCTCTCTCTCTCTCTCTCTCTTTCTCCAGGTTTCTTTCTGGTGATACTTTTCAAGAATAGGGGATCAGATTCAATTTTCACCGGATTTAGAATACAAATACAACCGTTACAAAATATGCATGTATCGTTATCATTATCTACAGTATCATTGTTTCTTACGGGCTCGATCAAGTTTTAAAGTGCGTACTTTTTGCAAACATCACGTCATTTTTTACTTTTAATAATGCAATCGTATAATTATTACAGAAATTAAGTAAAATACAAATTAGAGGCATGTATACACATAATATAAATGGTACAGACTCATAAAGTAACAAATCAATGTAAAAACCGATCAATTTATTCGTAACAAATACAGTAAGAAAATAATCAAAATCACAAAATTTAATATATCTCCTTTAAGCCCCGGATAGCAATGCGAAGAAATAACGATAACGATAAAAATAATAGGATTTCAACCTACCAGAAATTATATATTCCAATGTATCTGATTTCTGATTGATTGAAATTGTGTTATTTCTACTATCGCTATCGCTATTTTTTCGCATTATGTCTGAGGCTTTATATCACTGCACTGCAACGATCACAACTATCTTTTATACACAGATTAGCTAACCAAAAAGGTATGTTCTGTGTGAATTACAGCTGTTGCGATCTAATAGTTGCACCATATCCAATAAATAATAATCGATTAAAATGTGGATTAAAATGGATGAAGATTATCAGAAATACACATTCACGAACGTTAAAATGAATCCTTTTCAATCCGAATGCATTTTTATTCATTTATAGGAATTTTATGAAGCACATTTTTATACTTTTCAATGTAAAAATAATAATATCAGCTATAATAATATCAGCAATAATATCAGCTTTTTTCCTGTTTGTGATCGTGAATATTTCTTAAGTCAAAATTCTGAATAGGGGAAATACAGTTTTTCAATCCAATATTGAATCTAGTTCAATTGAATTGAATTGAATTGATAGAATCTAAAAATAGAGTTTTTCTTATTTAAAATACGCATTGATCGGATAGATAAAATTTCAATCCATTTAAATTCATCCTCATTTATTGTAAAGCTTAATGCGTACTCTTTAGCAATACGTACTTTTGAGCGACCTTACCCTATATTCTTTAGAGTATTCTTATTTTTTAATTAACGTGTTGCATTACATTTTTTATTGGAATATTATTAATTATAAATTTTATCATTTACCTTTAGATAATTCCTATCCATTGGGGTGACTAATTTCAAATTTATAAAGTCACCGCATTGTTTTATCATCCGTACTACTTGCTCGTGAGACGCCCACTTGACGTCTTTATCGCCGATACCGACTATGAAATCACCTTCCTTCATTCCACCCACCTGAAATAAAAGAAAGTTTTGTTATTATTAATATTATTACGTATTTGTTATCATAATTGTAATTAAATGCATTACATAATTACAATAAGAAAAATTAAAGATAATTGTGCAAAAAATTTCGCTGAAATTATTCCACGTTTTAGAATATTTTTATCGCTGAAAATTTGCTGAGATTTCACTGAAAATGAATTTTTCAGCTAACATACTGAAAAATCATTGAAATTGAACTGAAATTTCTTTAAAATTTTTCTGAAAATGAATTTTTCTAAAAATCACTGAAATTAAATCGAAATTTTTCTAAAATGCTGAAATTTCACTAGTGTTCCAAAACGTGGAATAATTTCAATGAAATTTTTTTCCACTAGAGTGAATATATTATTCTTTTAACTGTATTTATAATGTGGTTTACTCTTATTTTGTCCTTTATTTATTGTTATTTAATTTTCACATGAAGAGTCCTTCTAACAGTTATATATGAATATATTAGATAATAGGAATCGTTACCCCGATAGGCAAATTGTGAAAATAATATTATACAATAATATGACATCATCAACTGACAATTTTGCAATAATTGCGTTGACAAAGATAATTTGCCATAACACAACAGTTTAGTCGGAATAAAATTTCTAAATGATATTAAAAATTTGATAAATCTAATTTGAGGGGTGTAAATACTTTTTAATTCACTTTCTTTCAAGAATATAATGAAAGGAGATGCTGGCAGTATATTGAACAAACAAATAGGATACGTTATCTGATTATTTTCAAACGTTTGATAAACACTTCCAGAAAATCGGCTCATATATGCTAAAAGCCGTTTGACTTTAAAATTTCAAATTTTGCTGCTGAAACTAAATTTAGTATTGAATGTATCATACTTCATGTTGCAATATTTCTACACTGTAATTTAGAAATAATTATACATTTTTATAAGCATGATAATTATCTTTTTAAAATACAGCTAAAATATTTTTTCCCATTATTGGACAATTTACTTTTAAATTAAATTTAGAAAGAAATTGTCCAATAATTTAGATAAATATGCCGCTAAGATGAGTTATATCATTATTATTTTGCTAAAATACTACGTCAAAATTAATTGAACAAACGGTTATCAATATTTTAAAAAAGATCAAAATTTCTACATTTATTTTTGTAAATATATCCGTATAATTGCAGACTACAAATTTTATGTAAGATTTTGTCATATAATTTTATAACCGTTCTCTTATTGGGGTAGTAGATTATCTTACATCCGCTAGCGAATTATGATCGACGGCTGCTACTATCACCGGAGCATCACCGCGTACACTAAATCCGAAACCTTCGCCATCAGGGCCTCTTTGAAGTTGTACCAATCGCGGCGCGGTCCAATGTCGTTTGGCGGAAAATATCGCTACAGGTCCCAACGACTTGAAAAGATCATCCACTCCGTGCTGCCCAAAATCGGGATGAGTGATACTAAGTTGAAATTTTGTCGAGGCTACATTTACAAACAGAAAAGAGCAAAATAAAAAAATATGCATTTTGATATTATGATTTATTTTCATCGAAATGGAGGAGTTAAAAAAATTAATTATATTTTGGTTAATAAGTTTTTTTTATAAAGTATCGCGTACCGATAATATCCGGTGGATCCAAAAGTTCTCGAAAATCATCCTCATTACCAAACCTATTATAACTTTCAAGCGTTGCTTCTTGAGCTTTCTTCAGAACCTTCGCTAGAGCTTGTTTACCTTTCAGCTCGCGGCACATTCTCTGGAGTCGTTGACTCTCGTCATGCAAAACAAGAGCTTCTCTGAGATGTGCTTTGCCTGCAATAAGAAATTCTATTCATATATGTTCCTTATTGAAAATAAATAGAAAGAAGAATTGGCGATGTAAAAATATCGTTTGTTAATATTTTAAATCAATGTAATTTATTATATATATATATAACATATAAACAATATAATATATAAAACAAATTTTGCGTAAACGTACCTAATAATTTCCTTTCGTTGTCATCTCTGGGAATAGTTGCGTCCAATTGAGTTTTCCCATCGCTCTTTTGGATATGCTCCAACGTGAGCTTTGTTTCCACGCGAAATTCTGCGATTGGTCTGTCCAGCAGACCAACAGCGATATGCTTGTGAGCGAGGGCAAGATGGTGTTCGCGCTTCACTAGTATTAACGAGATCCACGTCTCCGGGACGTAGTCACGAACTGGCTCGCGTGATATCAATCCGTGGACGTCATTGTATATCACCGCAACCTGGATTAATCATCTTCATGATTCACTTGTACTTATTACACCAATAATTGTAAGACGCAGAAAAATTGTGAAAAAGGTTCATTTTTTTTTACCTGAGCTGCCTCTTGAGCAAGATCTAAACAAACATCGATGCTTCTGCTGTCCTTCGATTGAAGCTCCAATTTTTCAAAGAGACACTCCCTTGCCTGAGCCTAAAATGCGAAATGAATTAATCGTTAATAGTATTATGTAATACATAATATTAAAAAAAATTAAAGGACCATTAATTATAAGCAGCGCAGTTTCAAAGATTTATTGCGTCTGAATGCAGAGCGTCCTACTGCTACTCTTTTCTATCGATCCAAATAATTCATATCAACCTTCACTAAATCCAAATGAATACTACCACGACTATAATCAACATGAAAATCGCTGCGCGCACACGCGGTTGTATGATTATTTTTATATAAAGACACGTCGTCGGCCGTGTCCTTGCAAAGCGGCCGCCCGGGTGCGCTGCCCCGTATGTGTATTCCGGCTTGAAACGGCCCTGATTATGTGATAGAATAGTTTTTTTTATTTGAACAACTATCAAAACAAATATTAAATTATAAGAGAGAACTTACAAGCATCAACTGTACCAGCATCTCCAACATATCTGGGCCCAAATCCATACTTGGTGCATTTGTGAAATTCTCATGGATATACCGAAAGGTGCCAGCCGCTCTGAGAAAAGCGTCGACTGCTTGGTCGAGTCCTCGAGCGGTTAGACGATCCTGTTTGGCAGCCAGTTGCGTATAAAGCGCGCCGGCATTAAAAAGAATGGACGCCTTCTCGAAAGCAACTGTTCGTTGACAACTCGGTACACCTGTCAACGAATCGAACCATTCAAAATAGATGCCAAGGCTTCTGTCAGGTGGAAAGAAACGTCTCTCTATGAAATAAAGCTGATTATAATAACGCAGGAGTAACGCGATGCCTGCTGAATCTCTGGTCGGTGTCCTTGTAGCCTGCAAAGATAAAACAATAAAATATTTATTTATATAACGTTTCTTTTTATAATCAGTTAAAGCAGGATCTTAGTGCTTAAATATTTCTTGTGTGATTTACATATCTATTATAATTCTGCATATTGCGCGATGAAATCTATTTCGATCTTGAAACACCTTATCATAAGCAGAACCAGAATAGTAATATCACTTTATATATTAAATTGGCAATTTAATAATTTTTTTATGCTAATAAACATCTTTATAAGAATATTAATAATCAGATAATAATCTGAATAATCAATAGTATTGTTCGTTTTGTCTCTCGGGAGCTACTCGGGGTCGCTCCGAACGAACCCAGCATACTTAAAATGTAGGATTCACACTACGTACGATATTCATCATACGACGTCCGATATTTATCGTAACAACGAAAATTTATCGTAATGATGAATCCCGAAAGACAAAACGAACAATGCTATTGAGAATTTTAGAATCTGCAAATAATTTTGAATTTGTATAATATGCAGAATCAGGTATGTATAAAAATTCACACAAGAAATATTTAAGTACTAAGATTTTGTTTTGACTGAACATAGGAATTTTCGTATTTAATTAGATTTATTTTCGTCGGTCTAAATTCGTATCATACTGTCTCTTTTTATGTTCATTAACTTAAATTAAATATATTATATATCTGGAATAATATTCAAATCATGGAAAATTATGATACGATATATTTTATAACAAAAAAAGCAATTGAAGAATCTATGCAAAGTCTCCATAAAAAATTTCTGAAATATGTAAATAAGAAAAATAAAAAATTGTACATTTTTTGTAAATTTTATGGAAATTATAACGAAGAAAAACATGCATTATTTGTTTACCTGTCTGGTTTCCATCAAGTCAGCTATAGCTTCTTCATAGTTTTCCCCATCTTCGCTATAATGCTCCAAGATGAAGTCCTACAAGAGAGAAAATTAATAATAAAAGATCGTTCATGTGAGTCGATCAATAATTCGTGACAATCGTGACACGTGCCCGTAACACGTGGAATCAGAAAACATGACTGACAATGTTAAATCGATATCTTCATAGCAACTACAAAGCTTTCTTAGTTAATGCATGCTCGGGTATTTCTATTCACGAATATTCACGATATTTGCGATTTTTCTCCGTGATTCTTGTTAGAGTGCGTTAAAGTTAGAAGCTAATGCAAGATAAAAATGATAAAAATCACCCTTGAATTAATACGGAAACGTTCGGAGCACAATGAGGGCGAAATATCGACGTTGGAAGAAATAGCTTTGCACCAAGAGAATATCGATAAAATTCAACTGATAGACAGACACTGCAGAAATCTCAAGATCCTCCTATTGCAGAATAACCTCATATCGAAAATAGAGAATTTGAATATGTTGAAGAAGCTGGAATATTTGAACCTGGCTCTCAATAACATCGAGGTTATTGAGAATTTAGAGGGTTTAGAGAGTTTAAAGAAGTTAGACCTCACCCTCAATTTTATTGGAAATTTACAAAGTGTAAAAAGTCTCAGGTATTTTCTTTTATAAATATTAGGCGTTTTTTAATTCATCGATTGATCAATCGTATTATGCGCAAATGCAGCTTTTATGGAATAAAATTACATTTGCGCAAAATGCGATTGATAAATCGATGAATTAAAGAACTTATTGCCCCTGTATTATATTATTATATGATATTACATAACTATTAGGATGTATAAATTATATGTAGATAATTTCTCATTATTTGATTTCATAAAATTCATCAGTTAAGAAACGTATCAAATAATTTATTCGATTAATTAGTCAAAGTCCAACTATAATATATCAAGATCAGTCAAAGTTACATTTTGATCAATTGTGCATTAATTGATATAATTTTCACATTATACACTGTTACGTGTATAATTTTAATAGAATTAGAAATCCCTTTCCATTCTCTTTAAACTGTGTGTTCATGTTTTACATAGGTGTAACGAGAATTTGGAACATCTGATTTTAATGGGAAATCCGTGCACGGATTACGAATACTATAGACAATATGTCGTGGCGACTTTACCGCAATTGCAAGAGTTTGATATGCAGGAGGTTGAAAGGTCAGAACGTATCAAAGCATTGCAGATCTATTCGCGAGCGCGAGATGATATTATTGAGAGCTATCGGCATTACGAGAAAACTAGGATAGCTCAACGCACTCGTTGTAATACTGAACATGAAACCATAGAAACAATCAATCAAATGGTAATCAAATAAATGGTTATATCCCGTATTCCTATCGCCATTATGCATAAGTGTCTTTTAAATTATCTGCAGTCTGCTAAGCATGTAAACAGTTATGTTGCAACAGTTTTCATTTACGCATGAAAAATGCAAAGACGAGCGTATAATATTTTCCTTAGAATATTACAGAGAAGCAAGCGAAACATACACAAAACGAACAAAGCGAGAATATGAATACAGAACAGGATAACGAGCCAGAGGATGAACGTTTCTGGAAGCAGCTTAGTTATTATACGCCGGAAGATAGAGTCGCCATTGCTGAACGATTTATGAAAAAACAAGAAAAGAAGAATTGTACTTCGAATAAGAGTTATCATTCAAAACGTGTGCTGAAATTATTCGCTCCAGACGGAAGAGCATACAATATGAATCAGGCGAAAGTGCCATTCAGACTAAACGATGAAAACGATCCTGATTTTGTTCTGCTTGAAGTTTCCGTTTATAGGTAATCATTGATTAATACAATCACATGATATAGGGAACCTGGAACTATTTGCTACAATTTTTTATTAGAATCTTTTTATGGACTAATGTATATATTTAAATTAACGAATATTTAAGCATTGATCCAATGGATGCATTCAGAAGCGACGATCGCTCACTGAGCGCTCACTGAGTAAAAAAGATCAGAGATTAATCCCTTTTTTTACTCAGTGAGTGCTCAGTGAGCGGTCGTTGCTTCTGAATGCACCCAATACATCTTCGACTAAATAGTCTTTTTTTTTACTTTGTATCAATGTTTTTAAATATTTAAAACCAAAATTTTCCGTAAAATTTTCAGTAAAACTGTAGGTAAACTCTATTTATAAGGCAAGTTGTTACTGACAATAAGATGAGACAAATTGTCACATTTATAATTATCTCAAGAATTATCTAAGAACAAATTCAAGATTATAATGGAATCAAATATAAAATACTTCATACAAAATATTTATTTTAGAATATAAAATTAAAATTTATAAAAATATGTTAATACAGATTTGTCTTGAATTAGTTATTAAATATCTATCTATCTCAATCACCAAACAAAAGAAATTATTAATTCATCAATTCGAAACACAGCATAAATTCTTACATTGTATCAATCTTCCTCGATCGAGCTATAACTAACGCTTAACTCTTTATTCCTTGTTCGAGAAAATACAAATAAGAAACTAATATATATATCAATTCAAATATATGTTATTGTTATTATAACTAAATGTATCTACATTGAAGAAATATATAAAAGAAGTAATAACATGCCTACAGCTTATGTATCCAATAAAACAACTAATTCGCAGAATGAAATATTTATTTTCAATAGCAAAAATCATATAAACAGACAGTATTTTACAATACAATTTACGGCCAACAAATTAAGTGAAGTAGTAAAATGTTATAAGAGTCATATGTAAATGTTTTTAAAAATGTACTGTTTTCTTTGGTAACTATAAAAGAACTAACTGTAACAATTTGCTTCTTCTAATATCTGTCTTCGATATTTCCTACAGCATAGAAATTTTGAATATTTTCAAAACATATTATGTAAACGTACATTATTAATGTATATTAACGTATTTATAAATATATGTATTAATCGTATCATTATTGCGCTTTTTTATATATGAAGGCATTTGGACACCTCCCACATTGACGTCGACATAAATCCAACTTACGTGCGAGTCACTATAAAAGGAAAAATTCTGCAGTTGACCCTGCCCTGCGAGGTATCGGTTGATAAAAGTAACGTTCAACGGAATATGACTACTGGCAATTTAGTGATTGCTATGGCCCGATTGACTCCGTGCACAACAATCGTTAAGAAAGACGAATCAACAATAAAGAAGAAATCTAGCGAATCTAAAACAAAGGTTATCACAGTTCGGCCATCGGTGACTTCTCGACGAGCTCTTCTCGAAATCGGTCCATCCACAGACGTTTACAATTTTCTGAAGATAACCGAAGATTCCGCGAAACAAACACAGAAGAAAGAAAAAAAGAATCTCGAAGATTTCGAGGATAATTCAGACGTACCACCTCTCGAATAAACGAACATGAATAAAAAAATCACATAAATATGACGATGATCTCGCAAATTGACCATTGCGTTGATTCGAAACTTACTTTGAACGGATCCCGAAAGTCGATGTCTTTGGTCTCTTTGAGTCCCAATGGTATCATCGGCATAACGGGCTCAGTGCTGAAAAACAATACCGTTCAATATCATATATTTTCATCACATATCAGCAAAATTCATAATTTTCTTCGAATTTACCTATCGACATTCTGATACAGTTCCACTGAACTGTTCAATTCAGCAAGCTGTTCCTTCAACAACTGTAGATTCGAGTTGACAAAGCTTAATTCCAATGCGACGGTCTCTTTCAATTTTCTGTTGGTCGTTGCCCTGTAATTAATAAGAGCTAAAACAAGTGCAACTATATGTTAAGGTAGTACATTAGCGAATTGAAAACAGTCAGAATTTCTTGAAATTGAAACTATATATTGTAGTAGACTTCATTATAAATTGTTGAACTTTTTCCTGTATATTCATATATTGCTTAAAAAATAATTAGGTATATAAACATTATATATCGTATACATTCAGTTAATTATTTATATTTATTATTAGAGGGGAGAAAGTATATTATGAAGTAGAATAATATAATATACTAAGTATGTAGTATATTAGTATAGTAAGTACTTATATTATTATTACGCCTACTGCTAGCTTTTACAAACATAATCCATTCTTTTTAAAACAAACGCATTAGTACAGATGTTTTTATGGAAAATGTCAAAACCGCATTAAAACATGTCGATATGAAAAAAGTCTTATAGTTCATCGACATTTTGTATAACGAGCATTCGCTCCTCTTTTGCAGCTCTCTTGCAACTTTCTTTAGCAGTTTTCTCTAATGCTGGTCCAATTTCTCGCTCGTACTGTTTCAACAAGTTTTTTTTGACATGAAAGAAATGTTCAGACAAGCTAGCACTTTGTTTAAGGCACTGTACCCAAGCATGTAATATGTACATAAAAGTCATATTATACGTACAGTCGCGGACACTGAAGTCGTGATACTTTTTGTTTCGATGGTTTGCGAAACATTCAAAAATGTCAAAAGGTGAAATCAAGAAATCTTGTGCGACGCGACAAAGATATTAATTGGATACTGCAAGATTAGAGTAAATATACATTATATAAAAGAATTAATATATAATACAACTTTGTTCAAAAATTTACATTTTCAATACGTTAAAAATTAATATAAGATAACATTATGAATAAGGTTATATATATGTATATATTATATATTAATATATAATTACTTGTCATATTCGTTATTCGTATATAAAACAAAATTAAGTTATAAACAAATGGAGATCAAGGACGAATAGATCGTTTTGTCATCATGTTTCAGTTGGGGCATGTTCGGATTTCCATTTGGATGCTTCCCGAATATCATGTCATCTCTGTTGTTTATTGAACGTTAAACAAGGATGACATGGCACAATCAATGGACGAATGACGGGCAATTCAATTAGTTAACTTAACTTTAAACCCTTCTCATTTAAAAACTACTGCACAATTTTGACATTTTAATATTAGAATTTTCGTCTCGAAATACTCTCAGAAATTTGCTATTAACAGGTATCACGCAATGTCTGAGACACCCTGTATATAAATTATATGTATATAAATGTACATATAAATTACATATATTTTATATTGATCAAAAAAGTGATTATATTGTACATTAATTAATAAAATAATGATAAATTACGTGGCTTACTTAAAAAGATTCTCAGCGCCCGCTCGCAACCGTAGCTCCTTGTTGATCTCTTGATTGAGCTTACTTCGCTTGTTCTGCAGCTTTCCTCTGCAGGTCGCTACCCTCGGATCCGAACCCTGCGAACCATGAAACGCATACTTAGTTAGCGATGTTTCCATTTTCCAACGTATCATGTATGGCTTGTAATCATATAGGTAATTCCGAATCCGTAAGGATTGCTGCAACGATAAAGACCAGTTCTGCTAACCATGTTGATCAACTAATTCTGATTAACAATTATTATCTATCCTCTTTTCGGATTATAGCCATAATATGAGTAGAAACAAGGCGATAAAATTTTCTTACAGTATAAACTCTATTTAGAAAATATTCAAAGACGAGCTAACACCCCAGATGTTAAGTATAATATTAATTAAGTTTAATACATTAAAAATTAACGGGAAACTGTAGTTCAATAATTATTACACTGACGTGACTTTAATTAATTCACGTTGCATTGTAGTCAACAATTTCAACAAAATGATAATTGCTCTCTTGATATCCTCACTTCATTAAAAGCTATCGTGCATATCGAAAAATCAAGTAAATCAAGATACATCAAATATAGAGAACGCCATCATTTCGGTCAAAGTTAGATGTTTCGAATAATACGATATGTATTCTTCATTAAATAAATTTATTTCAGATATAATTGCGCGCTGATAACTTTCGTATTTTCAACACAATCAATCTGAAATGCTACTACTTCCCCCTAAATTCCCCCTAAATTAAATTAGAAAAAACTGTAAAGAACTTATTTCGAAAAAATATTACCTCAGCCAGGATAAATCAAGATGTATAATCTCATAATAATTCTCCTCATTATAATTTTCTGTTGATTATGCACAATTCTCTAATGAGAAACAAATTGTAACGCTTAAAGTTGCTAAACAGTTAGAAGAACTGACTGCATGAACAAAAATAAAAAGAGAGCACATTTACAATAAAGATGACGGTCGAAAATGAGAATGACAACTAACTGTGACGAGTATTCTCATTCGAATTAATTCTGTTTTTTTTTTAAGCTTTGATATGAATCATCTTCGATATTAGCTTTTTATAATAATTTTGTTCAGTATCAAATATTTTCACACCTAATCCAACGTATGATTAAATTCTAGCATATGGTTTGTAATAACAGAGTGCTTTGTAATAACTGAGATGTCTTGGTTTAAGTTTTTTCTATGTTTAGATTCGAGACTTTTGTTTTTAATTGTCTCTTCGTCTGGCTAATGTACAACATGTCACAATCATTCGTCACATAGAATTTTATAAAGAACATTATTACATTCAATTATTATTACATTCAATCGAATCTCTGTCTTTATATCTTTTTATAAAAATATTTAGTTTATTTAATATTCTATATTCAATAAAAAAATTCTTTTTTATGATGGCTACATGAAGGTATTATTTCCGAAGCATTTTTAATATATGGAAAAGCTTATATGATCCTTCTTTTATTATTTTTATCATTATATGGAAATAACATAATTTATGAGTAAGTAAACAAATAATAAAAAAGTTTTAAAACATAAAGTTTAGAATAAAAGAATAAAATGTACGTGTTATATACAATTTAATATATTATGAGTTAATTTTAACATATTACAATTAACATTATTGATTCGCTCTCATAATTTGCTTCTAAATTAAGTCAAAATGTTCCCAGACAACATTATGTCCAAAATGCGAACCTGAAACGTGTTGAAGATGTCTTAAAGATGTTTTAACGCAGCGAATCAATAATGTTAATTGTAATTTTTTGTTAATTTTTTACATAATATTTGTATTACTTTCTAATATATTCGTCTTGTGTGTTAAATTTAGATGGACCATTTGGAAAATATGAGTTATGTTAAATTTAAAACAAATTTTCTAATTGTATCTGATAATAATTAAGGTACCTACCTACTATATAATGTATCTGATATATTTGATACTTAACGATATCAAAGTCACTTGAAGCAAAATAAACGCAAATCTACCATACTAATTAATTAAAATTACCTTCGCAAATATTACTATTATATAATGTTATTGCTCATTGCTATTGGAAATTATTGTATCTTAATCGGATATTTATGGAATTAGTGAATGCAGAAGTTATTGATAGGCAATTCATTCCTTTGTTCTAATTGAGATAATATGTATAAGAAGTGTACTTGAATCGGAAAGAAATGCTGATAAATGTGTTAGTGTAATTATACACTAACAGGTGTTAAACAAAGTACGAAGAAAGTAGGAAGAGAATACGGCCGCGAATTATATATTATACATTATACGTGATCGGGTGAAGCTCACGATCGTCGTGTATAGCCGACTGTCAAGTAAGTCCGACTTCCTTTGCTCCTTACCCCAAACCGGAAGCATCTCCTCATGATAGCATCCGGTGTGGCGATTTTCGCGTTTCGCATATTTAGCACTGTGTCAGCACCGTATTTTCTTCTCTCGTATATCCTTCTTTCGTCCTTCTCATCCCTCGTAGTCTCGCTCGAAACGATCACCTTTGCGTCCGAGGGAGTGATTGAGCGATCCCTCGGCAACGGGCAGTAATGCACCCACTTTAGCATGATCGCGGACACATCGACAATGATCTTGATCGTACCATCGGAATTGAAACTGTTCTCGACGCTGGTGAAGATACGATTTTTTTAACGTCCGTTCATCTTTCTCTTTTTTCCCTTTTTTTACTTGAAGATGGGACACAAGGAACGTGATATAAATACGTGATGTAATAATGACTTGTAATCATCATATATATACACTGAAAAAAATGCATGTAATTTTATATGGAAATTACATGTCCATGACTGGAAAATTATCTAAATATGATTGGAAATTTACTGAAAATTGTAAATTTCCAATCATATTTAAATAATTAGGTAATTTTCCAGTCATAGACATGTAATTTCCATGTAAAATTATACGCATTTTTTTCAGTGTAAAAGCTGCGATTATAAACTTTAAATTAGCATGTAGATTAAGCTAAATAGAGTCCAATGCTTTATCGTGCGATATGTTTTTATACTTATGTTATTATAATTATTAATAATTTATAAGATTTTCCCTTTTCATTTTTCTCTGTAGAAATTTAAAGCTAAGCGTTATTGCCAATGAAAAGTTTCGTACATATAAATAATCAAAAAGTTCACAGAATCTGCATCGATGTAACACACCCCCAGAGAAAGGCATCTTCGATTCAAAGAAATGTTTCTTTGCTAATAAAATAAAATTTATTTAATTTTAAAAAATTATTTTCAAATCAAAGAAATGACGTTCAAATCAAAGAAATTTTTTCTTTAACCGTATAGCAAAGAAACATTTGTTTGAATCGAAAAAACCTTTCTCTGGGTGTGTTGTGTGTGTGTGTGCACGAAAATGCTATTTTTTAATTGAACAATTTGACATTATTCTAACATAATTTTTTTACTGGCAGCTTTAGTTTGTTAACACATATTCCTTTAACACTAAAAGATAAACAGGAGTTAAAAGAACATCCAATCATTTTTCATTAAAAACAAAAAAGTAATATTCAATTAATTACGAAAGAGATATTTAAAAAGAAAGAGTTAATTTTGAATATTCAGTTAATTAAGAAAGAAAGCTAATTTTGGAACTCGCTATACATCTACTCGCTATACTCTACATATAATGCTAGATAAACATAATTCTTATCAGAATTCTTGCAATCTAGCCTGCATTTGTCATCTCCTGCAGAACTTAATAGTTGCGCAAAAGATTATCAGTCGTAAAAAGTCTCGATGATTTACACACGCGACTTAAAAATACAAACATATATCCATTTACATTCGACGATTTAATCGATCCTTATCCTCATCTTACACAAATCGACTCCTAAGGAAATGTACAATATACTTATCGAGATTCTACGCGCGAGATTCTTCGGTTAATCTTTTGCAAGCTAAAAGCGCCGAATGAATTAACTAAGATCGTTTCATTGAGAACGTAGGATTTAATGTTTTGTGATTAAAAATTGTCAACAAAAACTCGAGAGATGGTCTCATTTGCCATTTCGAAATAAACCAGATGGTTATCAAAAGTTGGTTATTGAAAGAAAAAAAATTTCGTTTTACAGCCTCAATTACGGAGATGTTAAATGAAATAGAAATACTATATCTATAGTGTTAAAAAATATTAATAATTAAATATTATAAATAAATCAATAAATTATGAAGAAAAAAGAAAAGAAAAAGAGATAAGAGGCTCGTGGGCAGTTTATGCGGTTTATAGCCTTTATTTTAGATACGTAACGGAGGACTAGGTGTTCGCGTTACCGTAATTCCGTTCCACTCTACTTAATAAACCGTCTAGTTAACGCGATAAGCGCGACTCGAAGGTAACGATGGGTTATCCATAACTGTCGTTTGCAAACTGAATTGAAAATTCTAAACCTACGTCTTTCTATACATTCCACCAATCTTTGCTTACAGTTTCCTATATTACGATGAATTTTGTGCAGTGGCGGGATGATCATTATAACATCGTGCATCACCGAATAGACGAAAATTCTCGGAGTTACGGATTCTTCCTTATGTAATGCGTATATGTGAGGACATATATCAATCCTCAACGTTCACGTAGTGAAATAGTAATTTTTCTTATCCATAAAAGATAGAACATTTTATATCGTTTTATTGTCTTTTGTTATTTTTATCTAACGCAAAGATAAGATGAGCTATTGTCTTATAATTTCTTTTGCAATTTTTTAATCGATGCTACAAATGGATGCTTAGAACGATTTAAGAGCATAAATCCTTACACTTATTATTGTTTTATTATTATTATTGTTATTATTTTTTGTTATTATTATTTTGGAGATGTAAATAATTTGATTTCGTGTACAAAGGTCTCGATCAATTCGAGAGTTTGTTGAATGATAATGATTATAGTATTTTATTCGATGTATATATATATATATATATAACACGTCGTAGAAAAATATTCATATAGATAGAGTAAATAGAATATAAAAGAGCTAACTCGGTCAATCAGAAGCGAGATCAGAAATTACGATCGGTGTTTCTCGTTCTACAGGAAATTGTAACGTCTAGTT